GATAAACCTGCGATGCAATCTATATCGAGTATCATATCTTATATTCGACTAGTATAATATTATTCATTGTTTTTACTCAGATTTACCTCCAAAGTCCCATCATTAGTTATCCTTTCTACCTTTTCACCCTTTTCAGCTAGGACGTCCTCAATGTTTTTTCCTTTAACATCTTTGAACCAACCAAGGTTGTCTGCTATTAAATGATGGCTATTACAACCAGGACATGTTACTATAACAACTCCTTTTTCATATGATAATTTATCAAAAGTTTTTGACGACCTTGTTTGACACACTTTGCACGTGTATACAATTGCTAGCTTCTGCTCCACCTTTCCTAATTCATGTTTAGCATCGTTATCACTGTTATATTTTTGAGTAGTTGTCGAAAAGTTTCTTGAACAAATAATTTTGGTATTGTGGCACTGTAGTCCTGTAATACATTGGAATGCTTTTGCAGGATTGTTTAAAGTTTTTGCAGGACAATTTAAGTTTTTTGCTGGGTAAGTTAATCCGTGTGCTTGAATTCTATGCAATAGTTGTATCCTATACTTGGACAGGTGTTCATGCTGCAATACAAGTCGCAAGATTTTTTTCCCACAATTCACTTGAAGCACCATTTTTAAAATATTTCACTGGCAAGCAATATGAATAAGTATCCTCCTTAGCTGATAACAAATACTGAATTTATAATGAAGCATACATCTTTACATATGTATGTATGTTTTGGATCTGAATTCAGTTTTAATTGTAACTGGATATGCTCTAAGCTTCTAATTATTATTATTATTATTATTATTATAATTATGAATGCTACATTTGGTCGACTTTTCATTATCTAAAAATAGGCCTTTGGTCGACATTTGCAATAGGTCGACATTTTCGTGTCGACCTAATGTTTAGGGGTCTGGAATGCATATGCAAACCTCATGAAAGTATCTTATATCGACTTACATTGATCCTTTGGCACCTAAAGATTATATTAAAGCATTTTTTTCGAGTC